CTCTCAAGAATGCTGCTAAGAATTGACTTAAGTGTAAAAAAAAAATCTTGGCTCAAAGCTGCGCTTAAAAGTTAGTTATCAAGCATCTCCGTCATAGTTTAAGCAAAGTGTAGGACTAAATCGTAAGCATCAGTCTTAGAGCTGATTCACAACACTGTGCCACAAACAGGATTTTGGATGACGAAATATGCATGGACCAATCACTGAATAGATTTCCTCATTTAAGAATATGCTCAGATAAATTCACATTGAATTGTTAAATTCCTAATAGGAGTTTACATTCAACACACATATGACAATAAAGAATTTTCAAGAGAGTACATTATGGTAAGGAAACGAATTGTCATCACAACCTTCAATTTAGGGTCGTGCCGGTAGACGATATATAGTCAGTGTATCGACGAAAGTCAGAGATGATTTCATTGCCCGACAGCAAGACGATTATTATTATTATTCGTCAAAAATTCAGGCACCTATCTTTAGTGATGCAGCACGGAGAGCCGCTTCAGAAACTGATGAGTAGCCGTGATCATCTCCGGTGGCCGTGTCGGAGCCGTAACGCGCCGCAGACGTGTGCAGTGTAAATAAGGGGTAAGAGATTTATTCATGAAACAGTGTAGGTAGCTAAACTGATTATAACGGGAGTGTTTTTAAAGAGCATATAATACTCGCGCTAGTCTGAAGTCGTTTCTGTTTGAATAACTGAGGAAATTTAACTTTTATTAACTGCTCGTCGTCAAACATTTCTAGAACATTATTCCTCTCCTGAAAGATTCGCTCACGTCTCTGTCTCCTCAGCGCCATCACAAGCCCCTACTGGCCACTCCTAACCACTTGAGAGACCTCTCCAGCTGTCTTAAATAACTGCGAGAGTAAGAGTGAGTCTTAGCTTTAAGAAATTTGATAACTTGCTTTTATACTTAAGTTTGAAAATAGGAGTAAATTTCATGAATTCTCAGCACTTAAGACTAAAATTGCACTTTGAGAAGCTTGATAAATATGGGCCCAGGGCCCGTATTTATCAAGCCTCTGAGAATTACTCTCAAGAATGCTGCTAAGAATTGACTTAAGTGTAAAAAAATTCTTGGCTCAAAGCTGCGCTTAAAAGTTAGTTATCAAGCATCTCAGTCATAGTTTAAGCAAAGTGTAGGACTAAATCTTAAGTGTCAGTCTTAAGGTCTTTGCACACTGAGTCCGAAATTTTCGCACGTTGAAAAATAAATACGACCTCACGTTGTCAATCATGTTTACACACTGCCTCCGAAACTTTCGTCCGTCATTAAAAAAATTCGGATCAGGTTCGATTTTCTGCGTTTTCGCATCCGTAGCATGCATTTTGATAGGAAAGGATGGTGAATACGAAAAAAACGGAAAAACGAATGCGAAAATTTTGGACTCGGTGTGCAAAGACCTTTAGAGTTGATTCACTGACACTTTGCTGTGCCACAAACGGGATTTTGGATGATGAAATATGCATGGACCAATCACTGAATAGATTTCCTCATTTAAGAATATGCTCAGATAAATTCACATTGAATTGTTAAATTCCTAATAGGAGTTTACATTCAACACACATTTGACAAAGAATTTTCAAGAGAGTACATTATGGTAAAGAAACGAATCGTCATCACAACCTTCAATTTAGGGTTGTGCCGGTGTACCGACGAAACATGCTACCTATCAGATTGTGCTACCAAAAATATATTTGCATTGATTTAAGGGTAAGTTTAGGGTAAGGGTATGATATGTGCTTAGATATTTACATTGCAATTTACACAACAGGAGAGTTAATATATTTACAACAGGGCTTATTGTTCATCCATGTAGCCAAGTAGCGGGTGATCTACAGTTGTAACTGTAAAAGGTTTGTGCTGAGCACAATTAGTGAATAACTATGTAACTGCTTCTAGTGTACGCTGTGACTTCAACTAAAGCAGAAGAGAAAGGTTATGCCTGTTATTATGACAAAGTGAGGAAGACCTTTCTCTCTGATGAATTCTCAGCTGTTTGGATGCACTACAATGAAAAGGTTTGTCTTTGCATGATTTGAGTCAGCTATGGAATTATATTAAATCAGAAATAATACATACTTATTTTTCAGGTTAACCTTGATAAAGCTACATTCCAGGATCAGTTTGATTATCTTCAGAAAAAGATGAAGCTATCTTGCTCCGGTCGTTTTGGGGACATGGTAATAACAACACTTTTTTTATATACAGTGTATTAATAAATGTATTCAATTCTCTTTTCTTGTAATTGTCACTAATACAAGATTGAACAGGAATGCGTTCAGATTTGGAATTCATCAGTATTGGGATCTGTTTTTGGTGTTTTTAATCTGACTTTAATTTAGACAATTGTTAAAAATCCAATCAGTGAGTTTTTGAAAAACACCCCTCGGACAGTTCAACAGACGACTACAGCTCAGATGTTGGTGTTAACGGATAAAACTAACCACGAAGTCACTTTCAAAATCTCGAAGCACCAAACTGAAACAGAAACTGATGCAGGCAAGAGACAAGTTCTGATCAGAAAATATGAAGCTCTTCATCAGGTTTGTAACTAATATCTCAAGCTCAATACTTTAGCTACGTTTTACTACCTAAAAAAGGTCTTCTATAATCTCATAACCATGAAAAACGTGAGCTTTAAAGCTTTGTGTTTCTGTATCCACCAATATTATGTCAAACTACAAATTAACTGAACGTTTTCAGTTATTCGTGTATTCAGTTATTGAAATTCACATTGTGTTGCTTGAAGATCCTTAATGTTATTCTAATGTTTTCTTAACAAGATTAATTATTTTGATGTGCTTTCTGATTAAAATACATGGATTGTTATCTTACAGACTAGAGCTCAAATTGAAGGAACATTTGACGCTATCAACCAGCGTTGCTTTCGTGGAGTTGTAGTTGAGGATGAACTGGTTGGATATTATAGGTCTGCGAAAGATTTATTTGCTTTTAAAAATGATGCTGAGCATTTCAGGACAACCTGTTTTAACTGGCACGAGGACGAGGTGAACAACATAAAGATGACCCTCTCATTGGCTATATGCACATATTCATATTGTCTGTTTGTCTTTTTCTTGTTTGTCTCTCACACAGTTTCTGATCACCTTGTCCTACATGCATGTATTTGCTCGTCTCTGTACATATGGGTTTGGAGCGGAGAGGTGTGTCTCTACAAGTACAAGATTCTAGAAAAAACTAAGAAAATATGTAAAATATATTTGAACAGTTAGTAATTTGACAGTTTCTACAATCATTTCTTAATTGTTGTAAACTTTTTGGTATTGATATAGAAGATATTGATCTTAAATGTTTTCTTAATTACCAAGTATGTTTTTCTTTGTTGTGGAATCATAGAGGTCATAACAGCAGTCTCCAGTGAAAGCCTCAGTGTGTTCCTATAAACAACATGCTTATGAAAAATCAAATAGCATGTGGAGTAAATATGCACAAATGAAGTCAGTCTGCCAAAAACATGGCTTTACTACAAGCCAAGCGCTAAATTTCTGTGTATATTCATCTGACTTTTTGACCTAAAATAGCCATGAAGCCAAGAAAATATTTATTAAATAATATACTGAACACATTTACAAGTAAACAATGTAGGTTTGATTTAGTTTATACACAGTTCTATGATTTCAAATGGATGAATATTTTGGAGGGGGCTCTGCGCCACCTACCCTTACGAAAAAGTATACTTGCACTTCATTTTATGAAGTATACTTAAGTAATGTTGAAGTATATTTTAAGTATACTTCAAGTAGTAAGTATACTAACATCTATGTACTAGTAGTATACTTGTAAGTGTACTATTTGAATTCCAAATAAACTGACCTTGACCTATAAGTTTGTTTATAAATCCATTATTTTGAACAAATCTATTGTATTGGATTCCACATAAACATAAAATAACTATGACAGTCAAATTTACATCCCAGTTCTAAAAACTGTAAACACAATGTTTAAGGTAGAGTCATGCAAGAAATCAGGAGGTGAGGTCTGTGAGATCTGTCATTACTGCTGGAAGCTCTGTTAAGAGAATGGAGATATAAGTGATTATAAAACTGCATGTTGACACAAAAGCCAAAAATCAATCACAAATAATAGCAAATCAGAAGAGCTTTTGGGCAAGCTCTATATGCAAGTGCACTGCTGAAATGAAAAAAAAAGAAAGCTTTTAAACATTATTCTAAATAAATCCTCAGAGACTGATTCAATCATTGCCATGCAACACACTTGTTTGTGCTTAGTATAATATTAAAATGGTTTAATTTGAGTTTGAGTCTGGTAAGGAAACTGTTAGTTGCAGCAGTCACTTTGCTAAAGCAGTTCATATTAAAGTTCACAATTACCTCTCATGGCGTCAAGTATCTCTTTACCATTGACTTCTTTTAGCCTCTTGTTCTCTCTATTAAGTTCCTTCGTTTGCAGCTGTACCTTACTCCAGTTCCTGGCCCTCGTCTGATGATGACTCGTTTTCGATAGTTGACTACACCAGAACACAATGAGCCAAAAAAACCAAGATGAAATAGTCTGCATCCTCTTTTGCAGCAAAAGTGACATAAAAGTTATGACTTCAACTCAAAATGACTTCATTTAACTCTAATAAGGTTTTCCCTGAAATTTGCAAATATTAAGATAATTTACCTGTAAAGATGTTTGCTTTGCCATCAGCTCCTTCTTCAGGCTTTCAATCACCTGGTCCTCTTTTGGGGTACAGGTCATCTTTTTGCTCTTTTGCTGCCAAAATGACAATATAAAGTTTTCAATACCAGGGATTCAATTCAATTCACATTTATTTTCACAATGCTTTTCACAAGACATATCGTTACAAAGCAGCTTTACAGAAATGCATGTTTGTGTTACAATCAAAGGAGAACTATGCTTCATTATTGAAATGTACATTTTTATTTCTCCTAGATTCACATACAGAGGTGGCATAGAATCTCCACATTATAGTCCGTCAAGATTAGTGATGCAAAACTAAATTCATCCTCCTCTTCTCCTCCGTCTTCCTCCTGAGTGTTTGTTTAGATGTCTTCACTCTTTATGAATTCATCCCTCTTCTGGCAGAGGTCACTATAATTGTCTGTAGAAAAAAAAAAAAGTTTTGTGTACAGTACATTGTGAAAAACTAGGTCCCTCAGCTTTTCCTAAAAGCAGCCTATTAGTTGTATGTATATATGTGTGTGTGTATATATATATATATATATATATAATTTTTTTTTTTAAATGTTATGTTAAATATGCTTAGTCCGTCAAGATTAGTGATGCAAACCTTATTAAAAATGTTAAAGTTACTTACCACCGAAAATTTAAACCTTTGCGAGAAAAAGGGCTGGAGCACCTTTGTTTTTCTGCCTTAGTCCCACTTTACACTTATTACAGCTTCAGCACCAAGCCTGGGACACTGTGTAATCATTTCTGAACAGTACTCATCCTACAGTTTCACCTACTTCCACGGTTTTGTCTTAGAAATAATGTATGGCAAATGCCATTGTTAAATTGTTGTCACTAATAATTACGGTGTTTCTTTTATTTATTTATTTTTCTTGTCTGGTTCCTAAATGATAACAACCGTGGATTCAGAGGTGCGCGAACATATCACATGACAGACGGTCACTGCTCCAATTGTTTATTGTATTTGATTTATTTATTCTGAGATTCCATCAATGTTTTGTTGATAGCAGGTGCTTGCAGCATAAATAATGGCAAAACCTTCAGGACCTTACAAAAGGTAGGCTACTTGGAGGAGAGCACAGAAAGAACTCCAAGGAGAACCAAGTTCAGATGGAATGCAAATGACATTATGGTAAAACATTATTATTATTATTACTACTATTACTATTACAGTATTTATGAAGCTAACCAGTGTTGTGGCGAATTTCAACTCCTTGCCAGAATTCGACTGTCCTCCGCGTGCACGCGCGTGGCATCAGCGCAGAGAAATTAATTTAATGTTTGTGTTGCCCTCTACTTTTCATTTCATCTTAGTTTATTTATTTTATGATATTCCATCCTCGTGTGGATAAACATTGTTTGCTAAATGTCTTAACATACTGAATTGTATTTTTGAAATCATTTAAAAAAAACTGATTAAAACACATAATTAAATAAAGGTCAGCAATGTTTGCTCTTTAAAGCTTTTTGTAACCAAATCTTTCCCACCCAAGTTACACCACGACTTCACTGAACGATCAGCCATGGGTCCTGTAATATTATTTGGCTGTAAACAACATGATTCTTGTGCAGGCCTATATGCAATATAAGTGAAATAAAGAGCACAGTGAATAAATGTTCACTAATGAGTCTTTGGCAATTGTCAGCCAATAATTCAATAATTAACTTAAAATAACATTTTATTTCTGACAATGTACCGCTTGTGAAATGTTTGCTATATATGTACATTAAAATACATTTCAGAAGCCTCCATTAAATTGATCATTAACATTCTTAAAAAAAATCTAACTTTCTATTTAAAATCATGTAAGACAAATGTATCACATTGCACTACTTTTTTACAACATTAATAATAATAAATGCTATGGTCACGCAGGTTTGTTCACACATTAAACTCGTGGCCACGAGAAATGGATGTTGTTCCCTCAACACAGGATCTCTAGGCCACAACATTTTATCACGTTCCCACAAATTAATATCTCGTGGCCACAACAAAACTAAGTGAACCGAACATGTCCCCTTCCGTAGATTCCCAATTATTTCTCACAATTTCTAGTATTTGTAAAGCTTTGCATTTTTTTTTACATCAAGAGTATTGTATTAGCAATTCATTTAATTTTAAAGCGGATTTTTTAAACATGACAGCATTAATTAAAGTTTCTTAAGCCATAAGATCCATTAAGACATAGGCCTACCCGTTTAAATTAATTGTGCATCATAACAGCATTTTGAGATTTGAGAAGTGCATCTCCTGTGATTCATCAAAGCCACCCGCATAAAAGCTCAAATTCATGCATGACAAACTGTACTTAATGTGTATATGACTGCGATAAAATTATGGGATAATTATTCCGTCACGAATAAATCTCTAAATGAGGTGGTGTCTATTGTTATAGATTATGCAACATTTTAATTATTTTCAAACCTCCATACTATTTTTATCTGTTATTACCTGTTTTGTTGGCCATTCATCCTCCTCTTGTCCTCCGTCTTCCTCCTGAGTGTTTGTTTAGATGTCTTCACTCTTTATGATTTTCAACTCCTTGCCAGAATTCGACTGTCCTCCTCGTGCTCGCGCGTGGCATCGGCGCAGAGAAATTAATTTAATGTTTGTGTTGCCCTCTACTTTTCATTTCATCTTTGTTTATTTATTTTATGATATTCCATCCTCGTGTGGATAAACATTGTTTGCTAAATGTCTTAACATACTGAATTGTATTTTTGAAATCATTTAAAAAAAACTGATTAAAACACATAATTAAATAAAGGTCAGCAATGTTTGCTCTTTAAAGCTTTTTGTAACCAAATCTTTCCCACCCAAGTTACACCACGACTTCACTGAACGATCAGCCATGGGTCCTGTAATATTATTTGGCTGTAAACAACATGATTCTTGTGCAGGCCTATAAGCAATATAAGTGAAATAACGGGCACAGTGAATAAATGTTCACTAATGAGTAAATGGCCACAACAAAACTAAGTGAACCGAACATGTCCCCTCCCGTAGTCACAATTATTTCTCACAATTTCTAGTATTTGTACAGGCTTTGTACATTTCTTTACATCAAGAGTATTGTATTAGCAATTCATTTAATTTTAAAGTGGATTTTTTAAACATGACAGCATTAATTAAAGTTTCTTAATCCACAAGATCCATTAAGACATAGGCCTACCCGTTTAAATTAATTGTGCATCATAACAGCATTTTGAGATTTGAGAAGTGCATCTCCTGTGATTCATCAAAGCCACCCGCATAAAAGCTCCAATTCATGCATGACAAATTGTACTTAATGTGTATATGACTGCGATAAAATTATGGGATAATTATTCCTTCACGAATAAATCTCTAAATGAGGTGGTGTCTATTGTTATAGATTATGCAACATTTTAATTATTTTCAAAATAATATTTAAATTATTATAAGTAGCAGTGGCTGGAACAGACTTTCAGATGCAATCGAATCCTGTTTATGTGAAATAAGCCTGATCCAGAGCAGGTTTGAACTGAGTTCTGTTGCTATCACAGCAACTCTAGGATGAGCTTCAAAGAACTTAACAATCCTGGATCATGTCAAATCACCAGCAATAAAATCCAGCGTAAGAAGAACAGGCCCCTGATCAAACTACTGAGCCAGCCAAGATCTTCAGGAGCACTTGATGATTACAGATGGGTGTGTTGGACCAGGATTAGAACTTCCTGCAGAGTTTAGCTCCAACTGTAAGTAAATACACCTGAACTAGTTAATCAAGCTTCTGAGCAGGTGTGTGGGAGCAGACTGGAGCTGTGTTACGTGATATTGCCTCATCAGGGTTAGGGTATTGTATTCAGGCAATGTCAGGCAGAATATGTCTATATCTTGTAATGGTCTAAACGTTACCTGGTTTATATTATTGTAATTTCCACTGGCTAGTGCCTAAAAAGAGGTATCTGGTTCAAGTGTAATACCACTAGGATCAGCTTGAGGGCACTAGTGCATAGTGGTTGGCGGATATAAGCCTGGGCACCCACGAGTAAGTCAGTCGTTTGGTAGAGGGAAACCTTATGGTTGAACTGACGCTACCTTCCTGTTCATTCTAAAAGTCCTGGTTTGAGAGCTAATAGTTTATGCTCAAGTGTGAGTA